ATCAATTGCTTACGTGTTGCGAAATTCTAGAAAAAAGACTCCAAATTTTGTCAAAGAAGGCGTTTTATTAGAATTGCAGAGAAAATTGGCACATCGGTTTTTTTGGGACGATGGTTCTTAAGGAATTTTTTTTTTTTTTCGGTAAATTGGTTTGGAAATGATGAAAGTGGAAATGTAGGAAAAATAAAGATTGAGTTTTTATTTAGGGCACATGAGTCATGATGAGAATTTGGGTAAGGTAATATATTGAAAAATTATTAAATAAGAATAAGGACAAATTTTATTTAGAATTTTAGATTTAGCACCAATATTGTCCAAATAACCCCTACAAAACACTTGATGATTAGTTATTTGCTTAGTTTATATGACGTGAACTTAGCTACTCGATGAAGAAATATTTTTATTTTATTATTATTTATATTTTTATATATTTTAAATCATTTTAAATAAAAACATTTCAAATTTTAGTTATTTTTATTTCTTAAATAATTGTAAGTTCAACATAAATAATAATAATAAAATATGTTGATGTCCTTATAAGTAATTTTATATGTTAACAGCTAATTCAAAATAGCTATTTACCAAACACTTTTTTACAAACCGCTAACACTATCAGCTGGTCAAAACAGCTAACTCAATCCGCCAGTCAAAACAGCTAATGCAATCCGCTAACAGCTAACAGCTAACAGCTGATTACCAAACAAAGCCTATATATTTTTCGATTTCATTCAACATAATTATAAACTCTGACTAACAATTTTTTTTTTTCCAAATATTCAAAGACTTCTTGAATATTTTAAAACTATAAATAGTTTGTGTTCATTTGATTTCATTCAACATAATTATAAACCCTGACTAACAATTTTTTTTTTCCAAATATTCAAAGACTTCTTGAATATTTTAAAACTATAAATAGTTTGTGTTCATTTAGAAATTAAAAAGAATTAAAAATCAAAACCTCCTAGAAAATAATGAGATATTTAATTTATTATCAATTTTTTGGATTTTTCTGGACTTATTAACATTTATCTGGATTTTACAAACAATTTGTGTAGAAATACATGTGTAAGGCCGGTATTTATCTTATATTACAAACTTTTACTAGTAAATCTAATATTTTAAAGACATGTTTTTTCTTTTTACTTCAATAAAATGACCTCAATTTAAGTTGTAAAATATTCTCATTGAGTACTCGTTAATATTTTCACTGTTAAAATAAAATTAGTTAAGATAACTTACAAAATATAAAATTTGAAAAAAAAAAGAAAAGAATAACATTCAAAATAGTCACCTCCAATTACTATTTTGCCCACGCAAACGAACTCCGATCTGCGCCCTCACGCGCACACACAAAACCATTTTCACACACTACATTTTCTCTCTCTCAGTCTCGTATCATTTCCCATGGACAGCAAGCAGAGCACGGGCCGTCCCGACCGCGAGCAATCGACGGCGGCGGTGGCGTCTTCCTCGCGGCGGAGCTTGAAGAGGAAGTTAGATGAGGAGTTCGGCGACGATCGGTTGAGAATAGGCGGCGAATCGGTTTCCGAATCACAGCGAGATCTAGCGAGTGAAATCCGCATCCAAGTCGAGATCCTCGATTCATCTTTCTCATCCGCCGGGCAAGATCGCGCGTCCGCAAAGCGCGCCATACACGTCCTGTCCGAACTCGCCAAGAACGGTACTGGAAAAACCGAAACAGAAAGTACTTATTATTTTGTTTCTGTCAGTTTGTTAATTTATTCCCAGCGAGGCAGTGATCGTTCTGCTTGAGCGTGCATGTGCTTGAACATGCTTTTAGGGTTCTGATCTGTGGTGGATTGGGGCGCATGTGGTCGTAGGAGATGTTGCAGTGGAGAAACTTGTTTTGTTGGTGAAAATTTTCCATCAATTTGTTATGTGCTCGTGCAAGCCTATTTTAAGTGTGCATGTGCTGGATTTTGAGTTTGTATTTGTGTTTGTGATCTGCATTGGAATTGTGCATGTACTGCAGAGGATGTAGTCAATGTGATAGTGGACTGTGGGGCGGTTCCCGTACTTGTAAAGCATCTACAGGCTCCGGCATTCGTGAGGGAGAGGGAAGGTGCTCTGAGGCTGTACGAGCATGAAGTGGAGAAAGGAAGTGCCTTCACTCTTGGACTCCTATCCATTAAAGTAATTGCAGTACTTGATAAGATATCTTGTTCTTATATTATCTAGGTTCTTTTTGCTACTGAAATCAGTAATCTAAGTTTTGCTTCCCCACCCTTTCACGAGTGTTCTTGAGATATTAAGGTCATGGTCTCAAACCGGAGCATTCACAGATTCGTATACTTCCAAGTTATTTGCTGCTTTTTATCTGATGAGTTCATTTTTGCTTCCTTTTTGCAAGCCATCCAGTTCTCATAAACTCGTACAGTTCACGCTGGTGCCTTATACCAATAGTAGATAGCCTGCAGATGTAATAGAAAATATCGAATCTAAGAACTGTTGTGGATAATTTATTTTTCTGTCTTTCTGTTCGTTGATGTTCACATGTTTTACTCACGAAAAATATAGAGAATTATGGTGAATCTTTGATTAGTTTGATTGCAGACATTAGTAATATTAAACTCATGCTTCATTTATTAAATACACAGTTTTCATGGATTTGTGTATAAACTCATGGCCCATAGTAAATACATAAACTACTTATGAAAGTCGGATAGATATGTATGTATGAGTGTGTGAGTGTGTGTATATATATATATATATATATAAGTAATAATTGGGAATTTCATTGCTTTCCGATCAGGGCATAACATTTTTATATATTTGCAGTAATTGGGAATTTCATTGCTTTCCGATCAGGGCATAACATTTTTTATGTTTTATGGACTTAGAAAAATGATTTTGTCGTAACAATCATTTGTTTACCTATCGTATCTGTTTGACAGCCAGAGCATCAACAGCTTATTGTTGATGCGGGAGCTCTAACCCATCTCGTGAAACTATTAGAAAGGCGTAATGTTGATCCAAATTCTCGAGCAGTAAATGGTGTCCTTAGGAGAGCAGCTGATGCAATCACTAACCTTGCTCATGAGAATAGCAGCATAAAAACCCGTGTCAGGTTGTTTTTTTTTTTTTTTTCTTTTGTGACTGGAAATGCCTAATGTTCCTGTTATCTGACACTTGAATCATGCTTTCAGGACTGAGGGTGGTATTCCTCCTCTTGTTGAATTGCTTGAATTTCCTGATTTAAAGGTGCAGAGAGCAGCAGCTGGAGCCCTTCGAACCCTTGCTTTCAAAAATGATGAGAACAAAAATCAGGTAATCTTTGGCTCAGTAACCTATGAAGTATATGTTGTGAACTACTATATGGTTCTAAATGTTTACCTATTTCAGATTGTGGAATGCAATGCTCTTCCTACTTTAATACTAATGCTGCGGTCTGAGGATGCAGCCATACACTATGAAGCGGTTAGCAATTAGTTTTTCCCTCAGTTATTTTGATTTTGTATTTGGAATAATCTGCATAATCTTTTAATGTCTGTGATGCAATTATCAGGTTGGTGTTATTGGAAACCTGGTCCACTCATCTCCAAACATTAAGAAGGAAGTTCTTGTTGCTGGAGCTTTGCAACCTGTCATTGGGTTACTTCGGTATGGTTGGCTATATTTTGAAAGGATGATTCTCTGCTTATATTATTTCCCTCTAGGGTCTTTGTTCTTTGTTTGTTCGCCCTGCATAATTTCTCTTCGAAGTTGGAAAGAAAGGGAACCACAAAACACTGTCTTTCTAGTTGTATGGGAATATAGGAAAAGAAAGACTGATGTTTGTAAATTGAACTGCTGTATCAACCAGGATCATTCAGTATTCTTGCACCCCCCGAATGCTTACACACCTTGCTTTGTCATGGTGGACCATATCTAAATTCACTGCATCATCACTACTGGTCATTGTCACCCTGGCTCTACTCCTTCCATCAGAATGGTGTTATAGCTTAAGGAATCATCTCATGCTAGTTCTAAGCCATGTGAACTTGATCATTCTTCCTTGGTCCTTTCCTTCATATTATTGCACTTCAACCTCTTATCTGTATTAATTTGGGGATCCTCATCATTCTATGACTTGGTTCTGTCTATTAGAACTAGAAGCCAACTGCCTTGACCCAGAATCACCTTTCTGCCGGTGGATTTCTTGAACTCCAACTTTAGGAACTTCTATTCGTTTTATTCCCTGCATTATTTTGCCACCATTTAGTTCATTTTACTGTCTTTATTTTTTGTTCCTATATATCAAAATTTTATGATTTGTGTGTGACTTCCATATGAAATTCTGACCTGATGTATATGTGTATAACAGCTCCTGTTGCTCAGAGAGTCAAAGGGAAGCTGCTCTGCTTCTTGGGCAATTTGCTGCGACAGATTCCGATTGTAAGGTTGACAAAGATATGATTTTTCTCCATCGCACCTGCCACCTGGAATACTGGAATGAACAACAATAGAAAGAGAGATGTCTCTTTTGTCAAACTTTCTTCCTACTCACAAATCCGTTCCTGATGTTCTGCAGGTGCACATCGTCCAAAGAGGTGCTGTACCCCCACTCATAGAAATGCTCCAGTCAACAGACCCTCAATTACGGGAAATGTCGGCATTTGCTCTGGGGAGGTTAGCTCAGGTAATATTTCCAATTTTCTTCTTGATCATGTCAGTCTGAAACCTCACAAAATTTCTCATTTAGTTGAATTGGTTTAAATTTTGGGCAATTGGTCTTTTTTTTTTTTTATGTGTGTGTGTGTGTGTGGCAGGATTCTCATAATCAGGCTGGTATTGCACACAGTGGCGGGATAGTCCCATTACTCAAGCTTCTTGAGTCCAAAAATGGATCCTTGCAACATAATGCTGCATTTGCTCTCTATGGGCTTGCAGATAATGAGGTATTCAAAATGAAGCGTTAAAATTACTTTGGTGGAATATCAAGTTTGATCTGACTGGTGTTTTTTTTCCTTCTCCACTATATTTGCTGAAGGATAATGTTGCAGATTTTGTTCGAGTTGGGGGTGTTCAGAAACTTCAGGACGGTGAATTTATTGTCCAAGTACAATCTTAATACTTACTGATTATCTTTTCTATTAGAGTTACATGTATTTGGTTTAATCAAATTACGTAATAAATCTTTCCATTGATTGCAGCCCACAAGGGATTGTGTGGCCAAGACACTGAAGAGACTTGAAGAGAAGATCCATGGGCGGGTAAGCTTTTGTTATTAGTTCTGGTATACAATAATTTTGTTCTACTAATCTTTTAATTTGCACAATGTTTAAATAAACAGTCTTGAGTTTTAAGAAGTCTGGTAATTAGGCCATCAAATAATTAAAGCAGCCACCAGGAACTTCTTATCTGCAATTCGGGGAGAAGATGAATACAAACCTTTTGTTGCTAGTTGTTTTCTTTGGGCACACTGTTGTTATTAGCTACCCTCAATTTGTTTGGTGGATCTTCAGCTTGGCGTATGTTTTCACTGAGCAGGTATTGAGTCACTTACTGTACATGATGCATGTGGAAGAGATAAGTGTCCAAAGACGTGTGGCTCTGGCCCTGGCTCATCTCTGTTCTCCAGAAGATCAAAGAACCATTTTCATAGAGAAAAATGGTATGGTATTTACTAATTTGTCTATGAAGTTGGTACCACATCGATCTGTGTCTAGACTTTATGCAATGTGAACTTGCTGGGCTTGTGACTGCAACTTTTCTACCTCATCGGCCTGCTATTTTTGCAGGACTCTCTCTGCTTTTGGAACTTCTAGAATCCACCAACTCAAAGCACCAAAGGGAAAGTTCGGTAGCTTTATGCAGGCTCGCTAATAAAGCAAGCTCACAGTCTCTCATGGATGCTGCTCCTCCGTCCCCTATACCTCAGGTTACTGTAATTGAATTGAAATTTAACACAGCTTTAATCGAAATACTAATTTCATCCAGCACAGGGAACATGTATTTCAAGTGAATTGATCTGCGTCCTTGTCATTTTTACTAGTAAAATAGCCATACCATGCTTGTTACCTAAATGTGGTGATTGCTATTTATTAATCGTGGTAATACTTCTATTTTTTTTTTCAATTATTCAATTATGTTTCAGGTATATCTGGGCGAGCAATATGTAAACAATCCTACATTGTCCGATGTGACATTTTTAGTTGAAGGTGAGTACCTGTTTTTTAAGATTCTCTCAAGTGCTTTCTATGCATATGCTTCCCTAGCCTAAACTTTTCAATTTTGTTTGATTATCAGGGAATCGATTCTATGCTCACAGAATATGTTTGCTTGCTTCATCCGATGCATTTCGAGCTATGTTTGATGGTGGTTATCGGGTGAGCAATATGTTTGAGTTTGGATTATGTCTCATGATCTCCTACTCGATTATAGAACATATTACCACCTATGTTTCACCTTTACCAGGATGACCTTAGGCATATATCATTCTTCAGACATATAATCAACTAAACGATGTGCATATGTTTCCCTTGTGGAGTCTATTAATTTGCTATGCAGAATTGAACTTCCATCTTATTGGTTCATTGCTCAAACTATAAAGCTTATGTAACGACTTCATGCATGAACAGGACATTATTTTAGCTCTGAATGGCTTTGTCTAGGAAGCATGAAGTTTATGAAACTCGATCTAAGCACGAGAAATTTGATATGATCGTTTCTGTTAAGTTGATAATAAGTTCTGCAAATATTGCAGGAGAGAGATGCCAAAGACATTGAGATTCCTAATATCAGATGGGATGTTTTTGAGCTGATGATGAGGTGAATCTTCACAATTATCTTTTCCTCTCCTTTTGGCTTTTGCTATTGTATGGCGTTTATAAATCTATTAAGTACTCGTTTCAGTAAATGGTGGACTTTGGGTTATTATTTCTCTCTGCAGATATATCTACACAGGATCTGTTGATGTCAACTTAGATATCGCACAGGATCTTCTTAGGGCTGCCGATCAGTATCTGTTAGAGGGTCTAAAGCGCCTGTGTGAATATGCCATGGCACAGGTGGGTGCACATGAAAAGAAAGATGGTTTTGATATTTACATTGTAATAAAAAAAGAAAAACTTCAATTGTTTATTATATAATTTGTTCTTGTGTGTTCTATAGGACATATCGGTGGAGAACGTGTCTCTCATGTTTGAGTTATCAGAGGCTTTTAATGCTCTGTCTTTGAGACATGCTTGCATTCTATTCATCCTTGATAAGTTTGACATATTAAGTGTCATGCCATGGTACGGTTTACATTCACCCTTGATAAAATTGTACAACTCTTTGAAATGAAAAATACTCCCTTGAGATTTGCTTTTTGAATTTTAAATGTGACGAAGAATTTTATTTCTATCCTTTCCTGTTTTAGATAATCTTGAAAGTTAACGTTATTTTTTTACATAATTGGGGCAAAACTTAAGGACCATTTTTGCAATGTAGGTATCCCCAGTTGATTCAACGTATATTACCAGAGACTCGAAATTACTTTGAGAGAGCATTGACGACTAGACAGATTCATGTGGATCTAAGACAGTAAGTGTGTTTTTGACAGCTGTTCTTTGGTACTGATATTTGACCAGCTAGCGACCCCATGGGAATGT